TTTGCAATGTAACTTTGGGATAGATCTCTAGGAGTGAGAATGCTAGGCTAAAGAGTAAATGCATATGCAAATTTGCTGGATATCACCACATTCCTCTGAATAGGTTCAGAGTATTTTATCATCAACAATATACAAGATTGTTTCCCCCCCAGTCTTTCAACAGAGTATATTGTCAAACTTTTGGATTTTTGCCCATTTGTTGGGTGAGAATTGTTATACAGGTTTTCATTTGCACTTGTCTTATTATGAGTGAAACTGAACATCTATTTGTGTGCTTACAGGCTGTTGACTACTTTATCTGTGAACTCTGTTGCTACTATTTTCCTATTTCTAATTACATTACATTTTTTCTTCTTAATTTTTAAAATATGTATATATGGGCTGGGTGCAGTGACTCATACCTATAATCCCAGCACTTTGGGAGGCCAAGGCAGGAGGATTGCTTGAGCCCAGGAGTTTGAGACCATCTTGGTAACATAGTGAGACCCTATCTCTACCAAAAAAAAAAGAAAGAAAAAATTAGCCAGGCGTGGTGGTACATGCCTGTATTCCCAGCTACTTGGGAGGCTGAGATGGGAGGATAACCTGAGCCCAGGGAGGTTGAGGCTGTGGTGAGCCATGATCAATGCCGCTGCACTCCAGCTTGGGTGACGGAGTAAGACCCTGCCTGAAACAAAACAAACCGTGTATATGTGCAGAATATTAGCTTGGCTAAAATCCTGTAAGACAAGATATGTCTAAATTCAAGTTGCTTGAATGTTTACTGTGACATATTTCCTTCTACTGCCACAACCATGGTACAGTCTGCCATATATGTTGGAGCTTCTATCTTTTCTGTCTCTTGAGTTCCTATTTATCTTATATTTATCTCTCTGTGCTCATTCTAGATAATTTCTTCAGGTTCATCTTCTAGTTCATTAATTCTCTCTTCAGTAGTTTTGAATCTGCGTTTTAACATTTTCATTTAGTTTTCAATTTCAATAACTATAAGCACTTTGATGACCTTCATTTTCAAATCTGCCTATTCTTTTATATATAGTGCTGCATGTTGTGATTTTTTGTTTTGGTTTAATTCTTTTAATTTCTTTAGTCATCTTAGTTGTCCTTACTTTATAGCCATTTTAGTTCTTTTGTTTCTAATCTTTCTCTTTATCTACTGATTCTCTCATGGTAAATTGTTTTCAGTGTTTTTAAAATTTTTGAATTATAAACTGACTTTCACCCAACCATAAAAATGTGAGAATTCTGTGTAGTCTGTATTGAGAAAATTTCTCTCCAGAGAAGCTTCACATGTGCCACTTCCAAGCACTCCAGTGGTATCACCAGCCAGAAACCCATTTTTGTATTAATTTCTTAGCATCAGAATTTCTCAAACCAAGTGCATAGTACATATTTGAATCTTCATTGCCCATAAGGGCATATTTATGGGTAAAAATTTTCAGAGATTTTCGTTTCCCTGTTGAGCTCAGGCTCACACACAAGCTTCCTTATGATCTTCCTGAGTTAATGAGTATTATTTTTTCCTAATCTATACCTGAGATTGCAGGCCTTCCATGGTCCTGGGTGGTAGTCTACATTCTGATGCCCTGCTTCACAGGGTTGCAAAGCCTTGTCTGTAATTCCTGTTTGGCCAGCGCCCTAGTTTACTGGGATTGTGCCTCCACTCAGGACTGCCACAAATGTCTGCACACTCTTCCCACTGTCTTTCTGTTGCATCTTCCTGCAGGGCCTCTGGAAATCTCCCTCCCTCCTTCCTTCCTGACGGGCTCAGGCGGTGCTCGCCATAGTGCCTACTTTAGTCAGCACTAAGCAAAACGTGTTGTTGAGCTTCTCAACTTACACTGCTTCTGGCTCAAATTAACTTTAATTAAGTTAATTAATTTTCTGAGACAGGTTCTTGCTCTGTTACTCAGGCTGGAGTGCAGTGGCACAATCATGGCTCACTGCAGCCTTGACCTCCTGGTCTCAAGAGATCCTCCCCCCTCAGCCTCCTGAGTAAGTTAGAACTATAGGCGTGCACTACTATCTCCAACTAAGTTTTGTATTTTTAGTAGAGATGGGGTTTTGCCATGTTGCCCAGGCGGGTCTTGAACTTCAGGGCTTAAGCCATACCCCCACCTCAGCCTCTTAAAGGGAGGGCCAGGGGCCTTCAAATTATCTTTATGATGAAATAGAAAAACATCCAACACTTAGATAGGATCAGCATCCAGAAATACATTCAAAGTCTGAAGCCCATTTTCCAGCAGCAAAATGCATCAAAAATTGGAAGGATGTGTGGGGTATCAAGCTGAAGGGGATTGGGATATCTCTGCACCTGCCTGCAGAGAGCCACAGAAATTATTAGCTGTGGAGTTTAAAAGCTCTATAAAGCAGCTCCTTATTGACAAGAATATCATTTTCTATTAGAGTCTGCATCTTCACCCTCTACTTGGAAGCCCCGTTTATGTTCCTGAGAAAGTGCTGTGCTCAGTTCCTCTTTCCACTGCCTGGTTGTGTGCTTTTGGCTGCTCACTGAGCAACTCTGAGTCCTGTTTCCATAAAGTATACAGACTACATGTTAACCTACCTTCAAGGATGTAGCCGTGGCTTTGAAAGCTAAAATTAAATGTAAACTGATCTGCACATTGATTGTTTGAGGTTAGTGTGATCTTGATTCAAAAACCAGCTAAGGACAATACAAGAAAATAAATCACAGCTCCATTTCGCTCTCAAAAATTCCAAGTAAAATATTGGCTAGCAGAATCCACAGTGGATATAAAAAGTAATAATACATTATATTCACCTGAGTTATTTCAGCAATGCATGGCTGAAATATCAGCTCAGCATCAGAAATATCAGTGTACTCCACCAGAGAAAAATAGTATACAGTCAAAGTATTTTACCAAGTTGACTCACAAATTATGATTTAAAATTCTCAAAACACCCCCTTCCAACAAGCCTAGCAATTGAAGGGGTCTTCCGAAAATGGAGAAACAGTATCGATTACAACAGAAGCCAACAGTCACATCACACCCAGTGGAAAAGAATGTGATCGATTCTCATTAGGGTCTGGAATAAGAAAAGGAGGACAGCTCCCACCTCCCACTACCTTAACACTGGTGGTCTGGGTTAATAGTTACTAAGGAGTTCCGAAAAATTAAAACAAAATTAAACAAAACCTCCAGGAACGACAAGGAAAAGCATTCTGGCTTTCATGTGACTTCACAATTCATTCATCCCCACAATCCGAGCATAGTCTCTTTGAAGCCAGGATGCTGTCTGATGTTTTTAAAAATCTGCGGGACAGCACCTACCGGACGGGTTGGTGGCAGGTACTACTTTGCAAAAGGGGATCCTATCTACGCTATGCAGTAGTAAAGATGACACGAGATCCACACGGAGAACGGCTGTTTACATGCTGGAGCAGCACTCATTTGGAAAGGCCGCACTCCACCCCACGGCTCACTCTCGGGGTCCCAGCGCCGGGTCCAGGCCCCAGGCCCACCCGGACCCGCGCGCGAGCCGCCGTCCTCGCGCCGGCCAGCAGGTGGCGCCCGGGCTCCACGGCCGCAGTCAGGCAGCGCGGTTAGCGCCGCGGGAAGTCGCCTCCGAGTGGGGCCGCCGCGCCTCGGAGGCGGCTACCCGGGGTCCTGGGGCCAACGTCGCCAACGTGCCTGGCAGGGGCTCGAAAGGGACCGGCCCGCCCCTCGGTCCCGCCCGCACTGCTTCCGTCCGGGGACGATCTCCAGGGCCTTCGAGCGGTGCCCGCGGCTGGGGGGGCGACCGAGGGGCTGGCGTCTGCGACCCTGCGGGAGGCGAGCCGGGGTTGGGCGGGGACCTGGCCGCGCTTCCCGCCCCGCCGCGCAGGGGTCGGCTGGGCCTGCGGCTGGAGACAGGTGGCGGGACCTCGGGGCCACGTCCACGGGGAGCCTGCGGAGGGGAAGCCGCCCCCTCGGCCCCCGGAGCGTCCTTGGCGTGTGATGATCAACAACAGCGACGGCCCCGCGCTGGCCCCTCAGAGCCCGGTCCCCGCGCGGGTCCGCTGGGCGATCCCGGCTCCACGGACCCTCCCTCCTCCAGCGTCGGCGCCCGAGGAGACCGATCGGGGTCAGGGCGGGGGGACGCGCGGACTCCTCCGTGGCGCCGCCCGAACACCTGCTCGGCCCCAGGTGAGCCTCAGGTGAGCCGCTACCCCGCCCGGGCCCGTTCCTCCCACGGTTCGCGTCCACCTGGGACCTGCTTCCAGAGCCTCCCAGCCCACTTCGCGCCCCGGGACGGAGAAGCGCGGATCAGTCCCGAGCACGTGGCCGCCCGCGGTCTCTGGCCTGGACGGGCTTCTGCCCTCTGCCTCTTCCTTCCTGTCCAGGGTGGCAGCCAAGCCTGGGGGCGATTGAAAAGTCCGGGAAAGCGCGCCCGTCCCAGCCCCGTCCCGTGAGGTCTGGGGGTGAGTGGGGTTGGGAGGTTCCAGGTGTGGAGGTAGGCGAAGCCAAGCAGGTGTCAGGAGCCGGGGCCAGGTGACAGCTTAGTTCCCCGGGCAAACAGTAACCCTCAGGTGTTTCTGCCTTCCCTTAAATCTGAATATATTTCCCACGTTCTGAATTCTGTGCAGCCTCTTTTCTTCTCCCGACTTACTTTCATTTACTACAGAGAACCGTTTTAATGCCCAGACAGGTAGCCCTGCCACACACACTCCCAGTACTCACAACCACACCTCATTCTTGGCTTTAAACTCAGCCCTAAAGCACAGAACCAAGCTTTCCCTTGAGGACTCAAGAGGCACTTCTGTGCCCAAAGCCTCCCCAGTCCCTGTGAACTCAGCCCTCTGCCTCACCACACATCTGATAAGGAGATTCTCTGTACACAAGCAAAGGCTTCAGGGGTGGTGGTGGGCGGGGGGATGAGGGAGAAGGGGATAAAGAAAACTGTGTGTGTGTGTGTGTGTGTGAGAGAGAGAGAGAGAGAGAGAGAGAGAGAGGAGGGAATGCCAGAGAGATCTTAAAAACCACTCGGAATTCAGGTACTGACTTCAGACATGTTTTATTATAATCGTATACAGTCTACATAAATTTGAACTTGTATTTATTTGGGTTCAGTTATAACATAGCATAATAAAAATCAAAGCACTGGTCCTCTGAAATAAAGCAGGCAATCACCATTCAATAAACACACTGATTTATTTTGTATAAAAGGGTTAAGTTTACAACTAAACTTTTATAAAAAGTTTAGCAAGAATAAGTACATCATTACACTTTTTAATGCAGAAATAGACATCTCTGCCACTATACAAGAAAACTCTAATTAAAGAGTTCACAAGGTTTCACTCAATAGATATATTTATATATAAATATATACACAGCATTCAGTAGGCTTGTGTCAAAAAGGTAATTTCTGACCAAAAGACTTCATTTAAGTGACTGAATACTGGATCCTTCTGCTATTCACGCTCCACCTTTGAAAAAAGGCAAAGTCTGCTTAGATTGGGCAATTCCTTGTGATTTTAACGTTTTCGCTCCCCATGGTGGGAATAGTATATAAAGAAAACCTTCCGACTGCAGAAAGGGCATTTAAAAGTCTTTTTCATAAATAACGAATATCACAGTCCAGGTCAGAGAACACCCTGGGAAGATGATCATTCTTAGTTTTCCTTCCATTTTTTTTTTTTTCTTTTTAAAAAGGTCCATTCAAGTTGTCCTCCTTGCGAAATGGTTGAAAAATAAGTTCAGCACTTAAAAGATTCTGTGGATGTGTTGTTGTTGTGCAAAGAAAAAGAAGCCATGAACACCTGCAAAGGATTGGGAGAGAAAGGCACGTTTGAGAGAATGCAACCGAAGGGCAGAGGCGGGCGGACTGGCGCCGGGAGGAAGCCGCAGTTTGAACATTTAACCAAACACTCAAAGATTGGGCAAACCCTGGCGTCCAGATGCAGCACACACACTCGCCTCGACAGCGCAAATTAAACATTAAAATAGCAGAGACTCAAGGGAAAAACTTCCCAACTCAATCTCCTATTTGGATCTCCAACAGCAGTGCTACAGGCGCCAGTCTGCTTCTTGTAACAATTATTTGATTGAAAACAGCCCTTTAGTTAACAGATAGGGAAGTCTGGGATCCCACATCACAGGCTCTAAGGCACAGGGTAGCAATCCTGTGCTAGCCCAGAGAATCCCAGAGGACTCTAGTTTTAGGGAAGGAGGATCACTGTGGAATTTGTGGCGATAAGATTAATTACAGTGGAGGTTAGTACCTCATAGTACCAGAGGAATCGTAGGAAGAGCCAAGGCACCGAATTTGCTACAAAGCCGATACACACGTTCCTCGGCCGCCTTCGTAGTAAGTTATTGGCATCATTTCCTTTTAAAGGAAACGTTCTGTGATCTCGAGTACCCAGAGCTACAGGCTCCTTAACGTCTAGTGAGAATGCAGTACGGTTGACACCGCGAAGTAAGCATGCACTTACCAAATCAGACGTTTCATGGATACACAAGCACCCTCACACAAGCAACACACGCGCGCACGCACACACACGGAGGGGCAGTTTACCCACGGGTGGCACAGGCAAACACTCACCGCATATTCAGCCACACAGTGCCTTGCTGTCATTTGACATTAACTCGGAAGGGAATTCAGACGCCTGGAGAGAAAGGATAAAGGGTACGAGGTTAAGACAATGTTGAGTAGAAAAGGCTTTTTTGTTTTTGAAGTAGTCCACAGACCAGCAAATTCCATTAAACACGTTTATGGTACCAATTCAGATTCAAAGACAGATACATCCACATGTCAGAACTTACTAGCAATTTCACGCACGGCTCAGTCTACAGCAGCGTTTTAAGAAAATAAAGTTAAATCGCTCATGCGAAAGTCACTGTCTGGGCTACGGATCTCCTAGTGACAGCCCAGGCGACCGCGGGAGTGTGCGGCGGCGGCGGGGCGGGGGCCCCGGGCAGGGCTTACCTGCAGGGACAGGATGCTGATATCCGTGTTGAGGGTGGTCAGCGGCGTCCGGGACGTCTGGCTCTGCCCGGGTCTCTGGTGATGCAGGCTGACAATAGTGGGATGCGAGTCCAGGGCGATCTGCAGGTCCAAGATGTAGTCGATGACGTGCTGCAGGATTTCCATCTTGCTCACCTTCTTGTTCTGGGGGATGCTGGGCACCAGCTCCTTGAGCTTGGAGTAGCAGTCGTTCATGTTGTACAGCAGGCTCATCGGGTCGTCCACCGGGGTTTTGCTCCGGGAGATGCCCAGGCTGTGGTCCGACAGGCTGCTTTTCCTAACAGACCTCACGGGACTGAAGGCTTTCATGCTGGCCGCAAGGGAAGGCGAGACCGGGAGGGAGCTGGCTGCCCTGAAGCTCAGGCCGCCGCCGTCGCCTACTGAGCTAGCTGCGCTTGGCTCTGGGCTCGGCTCAGAATGAAGCCCGAGCCCGGCGGGGCGGCTTTTATCAGCACTCGCCGGGGCCACACGCTCGGGCTTCCCTTCGTTCCCATTGGCGGAAGGTGGAGCGTCCATCAAGCCGAACGGGCGCTTCCATTGGCGGGTGCGGGCGCGGGGCAAGGGCTCGGTTCTTCCGCGTTCGCAGCCAATGCCCGGGGGGTGGGCGGGGCGCGAGCCCAGCTGGGGCAGTAAATAGAGTACAGTACAGAAAGCGCGGGGCGAGCGGGGAGAAGGGGAGAAGGAGAGTGGGGGGGAGGAGGGGGAGGAGGAGGAGGAGGGAGGGGGTGGATGGGAGGGGGGAGGAGGAGGGAGAGGAAAGGGGGTAGGAGGAGTAGGAGTGGGGGGGAGGGGGCAGACCCAGGGAGCCTAAATGTACATTCTTAATTCTAATTCTAAGGGCGAGGCAAGACCTTCGCCGTGGGGGTGTTCCCAGACCAAGCCTTGCACACCTTGGAGCTGTCGGCAGCCCTAAAAATCACAGCGACAGGGGCAAGTTCAGCGCCGCAGCGGGGAAGCCTCAGTTCACTGCAACCCCTCGGAGAGAGAGCGTGAGGAAAGATAGAAAGCATTTCAGAAGAAAGTGAAAACGCAAATTAGGTTGCCACTGAAGAGTCACGTTTGTAGAGTGAGTTCGTCTCTTCAGATAAGGAAAAGTTATGTTAACACAAACAAACCACCCACGCCCGCATTCGACGACAGGTTTAGTGTGGGCTTTTGCAACCCGGAGCAGCGCGGGAGGCATTACTGTAAGCTCAGGAGAATGAGTTCTTATTGGAAACCATGCCCAGCCTCGCCGGTCGGTCGCTAAGGAGCTCTCCCAGGCAGGGCGCTTTCAGGGTTCCTTTTCAAAAAGGAGGCAGGGCTATTCTAATGATCGTATTAATCGGAAACCATTAGGAGAATTTGCATATTGAAACTACATTTACATACACTGCCCTTGAAAGGCTGCCGGTCTGTGCCCTTCAGAGTAGGTGGCAAAGTAATGTGATTAATTATGTACGAATTGTGATTTCTGGTGTCACATTCCAACACCTAGAGGCGTTCCAAGGTTTTGTGACTGATAGGTGGTCCTAGCCATTGACCGACATCTTCGCACTATTTATGAAAAAAAATAAATACTCTGTCATGTATGAGGTTTGGAATTTTTTCAGCACTAGTGCTGAATAGAGGTTCAGGTATTTTTTTTTGGCTGAAAATCTTTAAGAACTCGTTCTTTTAGTCTATTAAAAAGTTTGCAGCCATTTACTCAAATACCTTGTCAATTCTCACATAAGTCTAGCTTATCTAGAATTCTGTCTTGACCACACTGTGTCAGTTTTGTGTTTTGAAAATCATATTTTCTCTAAAAATAAACTAGACAACCCCAGGAAAGGCAATATTCAAATCTTACTTTCTGCCTCAAACTCTACCTCCTCTGCATTTAAGGAAGAGGAAGGGGCAGGCCTAGAGGCCGAAAGGAAAGCTCAATAACGGGGAAATAGTGTTTCTTCCTTCAATTAATGATTAATTTCTCAGCTGGTGGGCCCGTGGTCTCTGACCTTCACTTGACAGCCATGCCCCCCAGGACGCCTCTCCAGGGAGGCAGAGTGGGTGGCGTTGAGGTGGAGATCATGACATTCAGCCCCCTCAGTTTGGAGAAGGTGAATGGTTTCCTGTCCAGCCAGAAATCTGCCTAGGGCCTTCCCAAGTCTCACGATGCTGCCTGCGACTCCGTCCCTGACAGCGCTGGATGCACCGCATCTCTTCTGATATTAAGTCTGGAAGTGATTTACTATCCGAGTCCTCCCACAGTTCGAGCCTTTTGATGTACTTTGTGTGCATGTGTTTCTGTCACATACGTGCCACAGTGGAACAGATTTTGTTTTGACACTATTTTGGTTCATGATGTTATACTTTGACTATTTTACAATAATAGCCAATGTAAACAAACATCTTTGGGATTCTCAAATTATTACTTATGATTCTTGGACATTGCAGCTCTTCGATACTGACGCATTCCTAGCTTTTTCCAAGGACACCGTATGTTAACATCCGTGCCAGCCTCATTATCCCCACAGCCAGGCTCTGGGCTGGGCGGTAATGAGCATTGTGCGGTTTCACTTTACACTTTGCAAAGTTGATTAAGGCAGTGCCTTCTCCCATGATCATTTCTGTACCCTGATGTAGAAAAATGGCTAAATATGGTGAAAGTTTTCTGGTGTTTCTTTCTTTAGCTGCCATGTCAGAGTCCAGTCTGCCTGGCTGTGTTGAAGATTCTATTGGCACGCTACCCAGTTTTACATTCATTTAAAGATCATTTAAAGGGTATTACGAAGCTGTATAAGTTAATGATTTAAACAAGGCCTATGTTACTAGTGTATCTGTTTCAGCACGCCCAATCTGAAATCACCTTAAAAATTGTTTTCGCGGGGGAAAATCGTGTTGGAGCATTTTCAGGGTGGGTTTAAGGCACGTCAAAATCTGTCCATTGGTGGGTTTGCATTTGAGGCCTCCAAAGTTCAAAGGGCCCCTGCTGCCGGAGCGCCAGATCCGCGGGCGGGGGGAAGGTGTGCAGTGCTTCCGCTGGTGGGTGTTGGTGCGGTCCCCCTCGACTCCCCACCGGGACGCCCCCCCTCCCCCGTGGCAGCGACAGACCTGCCTGTCCGGTTCCCCAGCCTGGCTCCAAGGCACTCACTCCGCCTCTAGGGCCGCTCCGCCGCAGCTCTCGCGTCCGGGCCCCTTGCGGTAATCAGAAGCAGCTCTGGGCCCGGAGCTCGGCACTGGCGCGGCCGCCTTTGCCACCCCTGCGTGATGCGCCGCGGGTGGGGGTGTGGGGCGGGAGGAGCCTGCGGGGGCGGGGGGTGCGTCTCAAGGTCCTCCCTGCACATCTGGCGCAATGGGGAACGCTAGCCTTTCTTTCCCAGGTTTTGTTCTCACAGCTGTGTCCATTCCGCCCGTGACCCCGCGAATGATCCCTGACAGGTGATGAATTGGCAGCGGCGGCAGCGGCGCGCGGGCCAGGCCGCGGCGGGGCCGGAGCCGGAGCCCTGGAGCAGACTCTCTGGCGCCAGGCGCGTGACGCCGCCCATTCACGCCGCCCTGCAGCCTTGTCCTCCCGGCGCCGCTCAGGCGGCTGCCATGGCAACCGCGCCGTCACTCAGCGCGCGCGTCCAGCTGATCAATGCCTGCAAGGCCCGGCAGTCCCAGGCTCGCCCCGTCCCGGTCGCCGGCCCGCGCGCACCTGCAGCCGCTGCACGTCTTAAGTTTCGAGTGATTTGGGGAAGGAAGGAGGACCGAGAAGAAAAGAAAAGCGGGGAGTGGGGCGAGGGGCGGAGGGCAGGATGAAGAAGAAAAAGCCGGGAGAGGGAGAAAAGAAATCTACCTTTTGCAAAAGGGGGCATAATATGGCTTAGAGGTTGCCAGAGCGAAAGGTTTTGCTTCATTTTGTTTTTGCAACCGAGGCGTTCAGGGTGGGGCTGGCTCCAGGGAAGAGTGGATGGGGAGAAGGTCACTGTGTTAGCTCATGGCGAGATTTATTCCTTGGGATCATTTCGGTTTCTCGCCGGATGGCTTTGATCCTGGACTCCTAAAAATATTTTTAAAGGACCCCCCCGCCCCCCGCATCGTCCTAATGCCTAACTCCTCGGAACTCTAGAGGTTGCGCATAAACCATTAGATTTTTTTCTAGAACAGCCCCCTTCTCCGCCCGGGGGAGCCTGGAGGATGTGCAGCCCCAGTCCTCCTCCAGCTCGGTGGAGCCTCCCGCGCAGAGCCTAGCGATTCGCGCTCTCATTACCACTACAAAGCGCGGGCCAGACCAAGCCCCTTTCTAATGCACCATTTTTGACTGAGAACGTCTTGGCAAGCAACTTCCAAGTCAGCCTGCAAATGCAGACGCCTCCTGGGTCCTGGCTTTATCTCCAGGGAAAGTTCCATTTTAAGAACCAGATGCCAACATTCCCGGACAGTTCATGGCATCCGGATCCCTCAAGGGTGCTCATCTGCAGTTGAGAGCGTTCTAGCAGTTATTTATCATCTGTCCTGGAGAGGAGTTCCTGGACAGAAATGTCGTCTACTGGCCCTAAAGCCGGGGGCGGAGGCTGTGTGTTGTGGGGTGGGGGGCGGCGGGGGGGGGTGGCTAATGTTCCCAGTCCTGTTATCTGGTTTAGCAACGTTTGTTGTGGTTTTCGAGGAAACGGCGTCTGGATTACATAAGGATTCAAGTTTTTGCTTTACTTGTTTATTTAATACCTTGGCAAGAGGGAGCCCTTACCCTGAAACCTGATAACCGATTTTGGGTTTAAAACAGCTTTAGATGAGGGGCAACGCGAGGGGAAAAAAATGAGCAAAGCCACAAAAAGCAAACAAGGGGATGTTTATTTTTCTCTTTTTGGGTATTTTTTGAAGACCTGCCTAACCTCTTACACTTCTTGTTGCACACAGCTACTAGATGGCATTAACAAAGCGTTTCACGGACTACAACGGCTTAACAGTGGCTCCTCCCCTGCGCTGCCACCATCCGGGCCGTCATTCCTTCCAGGATTCCCGCGCGGTCCTGTGTGCCCAGAGCTTGAGTGCCAGGTAGAACTCCGTGCTGCATCCAATTGCTTGCAACCTTCTGATTCCCTTTTAGGGAGATCATTTTTCAGCTTGGCTCAAAGAAAGCAAAGTTTGGGAAGTTTGGTGGAGGGGCCGATTTAACTACCGGCACTGCAAATATTTTATTACAAATGCTGTGAAGTGTCCCGATTTGTGGCTGCGTTTAGCTTTCACAAAGGATTTTCCTGTGACTTTTGTTCCGGTCACCAAATTAAAAAAAAAAAAAAAATTAACTTCAGCCAGAGATAAGGTCTTGGAAAACAATCTCCGGCCGCCCGCGAGCTGGCTGGAGCAGGGCTGGCGTCGCCGAGTCTGCGCAGCCTGGAGGCGCGCGTCTTGGGGTCCGGCCACCGCAGGAGCCCGGGTCATGCAGGGACCTCCCCTCCATCTGCTGTGCACTCCCCTCCGCCCCGCAGATTGCAGCGCCCAGGCCGCCCCCCTGTGCCCACAGGCGTCCGTGGGAATCCGCCCCAGCCAGCGACAAGGGCGGGCTTGTCCGGAATCAAACTGCATCTTAATATTATAATGCGGCACCAAAAGCAAAACCCGAGGCCCCGGCTTGCAGTCCCTAACAAGAAACACATTGTGTGCGCTTTTTTTTTTTTTTTGGCTCAAGCCATGTTCGCGCGCCGGCTCCGCCGCAGCCAGCCAAGTCCATGACTTAAGTGAGGAGGAACCCGCCTGCCCTGCACCACGTGCGCTCCCAGCTGGGGCAGCCACCCTGCTGCGCCCCTCGCCCCCTGTCCCGGTCGCTGGGACGGGCTAGGGCCTGGCCGAGAGGCGCTTGTCTTGCGCCTGCGGCAGTTTGGAGCACGACTCTTTCTCGGCTGGAGAGGCGGGCAAGCCCATCGCCCAGGCACTGGAGGCACCCAGGCGGCACCAGCGCAAGTTGGCTGGTGGACAGATTTGTTTTTTCAGTGGTTCGAACCCCTTGCTTCTCCT